GGGGGGGGGGGGGGCCGGGGCGCCCAGCATCTCCCACGATGCAGGGTCTGGCCGTGCCCCCCGGATGCTGACGGGTTCTCCCCCCCCTCCAGGGTCCCCAGGGCCACCCGGGCAGCCGTGGCCAGGATGGGGCACAGGTACGTTGCTGGGTCGGGCCCCCCTGGGCCGCAGCCCCCCGTGCCCCCCGCTGCCAGGCCCTCTCCTTTCTGTGTTTCAGGGCGAGCCGGGCCCCAGGGGCGAGCCAGGCGAGAAGGGCACTTGGGTGAGTGGGGGGGTGACACCGGGGACACATCTACCGAGAGGGGTCTGCCACCCATGGGTGCCGGGGGGGTGTGGTGATGGGCATGGGGGGGACCCCCGGCCCCCTCCCCTGCTCTCCCCCATGTATCATCCCTGGGCCCGCCAATGATGGCGTGGGGGTCCCCGGCTATGCCCAGTGTTGCGGTGAGTCGGGGGGTGCTGGGAGGTGGGGGGTACCTGTGTCCCCTCCGTGCCCCCCCCCAGGAGAGGTGGTCCTGGGGCCATGCGGGGGTCCAGCCCCCCCTCACCCCCGTCCCTCTCTTCTCCCCAGGGGGAGGGTTTGCACCAGCTCCGCGAGGCGCTGAAGATTTTAGCGGAGAGGGTTTTAATCTTGGAAACAATGATTGGGCTCTACGGTGAGTAGGGGGGGGCCAGCCCGGGCCGCGGGAGGGGACAGGGACCCCCAGGGTGGCCCCCATCCCTGCTGGCAGGTCACCAGGCCCCCATGACATCACGGTGGCCCTTGGCTCGCTGATGTCATGGAGCTGCGGGAAGGGGTCCCTTGGCACCCCATCCCCTCTGCCACGGGGGGCTAGGCACCGGGGCAAGGCGTCGGCCCCACCTTGGCTGCAGTGTGATGTCATCAGCTGTGGATGATGTCATCACCCACCCTGTGGCATCATGGCCAGCACTGGGGACCGCTCGTAGGGCGAGGGCCACTGGGGTATCCCTGGCCTGCACCCACGGCTGGGCACCCCAGGAACCCACCTCTGGCAGGGACACCATGACAGTCTCCGTCTTGGGGACAAGCCGGTGGCCCCCCAGGCAGGCTGGGGACGGGGACGTGTCCCCCCACGTGTCCGGGGGCTTGGTGTGCTGGGGGGTGGCAGAGGGAGCACCCCGCTGGGACTTGCCTGGGCAGGGGACAGCCGTGTCCCCATCGGGGCACTGCTGGGGACACGGAGGCAGCTGCGGCTGGGGCAGGGTCAGCGCAAGGGCCCCCCGGGCCCCCTGGACCCACAGGGATGGGGGAGGCCCTCGCATCCCCCTGGGACCACGGGAGCCCCCGGCACCCCTCTGACACCAGGATGAGCATCCTCCTGGGAGACCTGGCACCCCCCACCCATTGCACCGGCACCCCCCTGCCTGCCGGGGCTGCACCCATGCTATGCCACCAACGCCGTGCTATGCCACCCATGCCATGCCGTGCCACCCGTGCCGTGCCCGCCGCGGGGCGAACGCGCGCTCTGCTCTGCTCTCTCACTCTCCCCCAGGCCAGTAGCTTCCAAACCCTCCTGCGGCAGCAGGCCCAGCTGGAGGTCCTGGCTAGAAGGGTCACCTTGCTGGAAGCCATCATCTGGCCAGGTAACCGCGCCGCCTTCCCTCCTCCCCTCCCTGCATGAGCTGGGTGTGCTGTGGCCCCCCCCGGGAGCAGGCATGGAGCACGGGGGGCTGGAGCCCCTGGGAGTGGGTCCCTGGAGCCCCCCAGGGCCAAGGGAGACCATGGAGACCCTCTTGGCTTGAGAGAGACAACCATGGAGACCCTTGTGGACCAAGGGAAACCCTGGAACTCCCCAAGGTTCAAGGGAGACCATGAAGCCCTTCTCAAATCAAGGGACACCCATGGAGCTCCCCTTGGATTGAGAGAGACAACCAGGGAGACCCTTGTGGACCAAGGGAAACCCTGGAGCTCCCCGAGGTTCCAGGGAGACCATGGAGCCCTTCTCAAATCAAGGGATACCCATGGAGACCCTCTTGGACCAAAGGAGCACCAGGAGCTCCCCAAGGATCAAGGGAGACCATGGAGCCCTTCTCAAACCAAGGGAGACCCTTGGAGACTTTCTTGGGCCGAGGGAAACCCTGGAGCTCCCCAAGCATCAAGGGAGACCATGGGGCCCCTCTTGGGCCAAGGGAAACCCTGGAGCTCCTTGGGCCAAGGGAAACCCTGGAGCTCCTTGGGCCAAGGGAAACCCTGGAGCTCCTTGGGCCAAGGGAAACCCTGGAGCCTGTCTTGCACCAAGGGAGACCAGGGAGAACCTCTTGGGTTGAGAGAGACAACCATGGAGACCCTCTTGGCCCAAGGGAGACCCATGGAGACCCTCTTGGGCCAAGGAAAACCTTGGAGCTCCCCAAGGATGAAGGGAGGCCCAGGAGGAGCCCTTCAACCCAGAGAGCCCCTGGCACTCCTCTTGGATGGAGGGAGCCCCTGGACCGCCCCGCCTTGACCCAAGGGAGACCCCGGTGCCCAGCCCCCGCCGTGCCAGGGTGCCCAGCTGGGGGGCAGCGGGTGCCCCCCCCCCTCTTTACCCCCCCCCCCACCTGAAGAAGCTGAGCTGGATTTGCGGTGCAAATGTTAATGCTCTGTCCTCTTTGGGGCTATGAAATATGGGTACAGTAAGTTGTAAGGTTTAAGTTATTCAGGTTTGTAATAATCTTTTTGACCCAGATCCTGAAGAACTGGAGATGGGCTTCATTGCTCCAGTGGGTGGGACATGGGTGTTTTTGGGGACTTTTGGTGATGAGCGTAGAGAGCTGAGTCGCTCCGGCTGCCTCATAGTCAGCAACGCGAGCAGCTTCCTCTGCTTAGTACTTGGCACTGGAGCAGCAGTCGAAGACTCTTAGTGAGTCAGAGTCACTTTTATCAGAAAAAAGCTATTTCTGTTCTTAACGCCTTTGAAGCTGTGACTGCAACTTCAGAAGTTAAAAAAACAATTTGATAAGAAAAGCCTCTTCTTATTACTTTTTTAAAGTGAGTAAATAGGGAGCTGGGCACCCAGAGCAGGGAAGTCAGAGGACTGGGGAGCTGCGGTGCTGCAGGCAGCTGCAGCCTTGCCTCCCCATTGTGGGGGCTTTTGCAGGCCCCCCCCCCCCCGCCCGTCCCCCCCCCCCCGGGGGGGGGGGCAAAGGGGTGCTAGGGCCCCCCCTGCCCCTTTTCTGCCCCCACCCCGATGTGCAGCTCTGGGGGTGCTTAATTCTGTCCCTGGCCTGAGCCCCCGCCGCCACCCCTGCGCCGGGGAAGGGGCTCCGGGGGGGCCAGCAGTGGGGAACCCCCCAGGCGGGGACCCCACTGCCCTGCGCGCTTCATCCCGCCGCTTTGGGACCCCTCAAGGTCATTAAACGCCTCCTGAACCCGTGGCCTGCGGCGTCCCTCAGCGCCTCGGGGGACCCCCGCGGGTGAAGCGAGCACCCATGGGTGCTGCCGTGGGGACGTGGGTGGCTGGAGCGGGTCCCCTCTGCCCACAGTGGGTGGCGTGGGGACGGTGGTGGGGTCCCACGGGGCCTCCCCGGGGCTGCCAGCGGGGTGGGATGGTGCCACAGGGAGATGGGCTGCGGTGACCTGCAGGGGGACCCAGGGGACACGTGGCTGTGCCGTGCCACCCCTGGGACACCCACCCACTCTATGCCACCCATGGAACACCTACCCACACTGGGACACCCACCTGTGCCACTCCTTCCATGGGACACCCACCCATTCCGTGCCACCCCTGGGACACCCACCCACTCTACGTCACCCCGGGGTCACCCACCCACTCTGTGCCACCCATGGGACACCCACCCATGCCATGTCACCCCTGGGACACCCACCCACTCTACGTCACCCCGGGGTCACCCACCCATGCCACATCACCCCTGGGACACCCACCCACCCATGCCATGTCACCCCTGGGACACCCACCCACTGTACGTCACCCCAGGGACACCCACCCATGCCGCATCACCCCTGGGACAGCCACCCACTCTATGCCACCCATGGGACACCCACCCATGCCATGCAGGCGTTGCAAGACGCTGCAGCCCCCCAGCACCCACTGGGGCACACGAGGCCGGGTGCCCGCAGGCAGCAGCAGGCAGGGGCAGGCAGCAGCAGGGTGCTGGGGGGGACACGGGGGGTGGCAGCTGCTGGGGACGGGGACACCAGCCAGGGCCATCCCTGTGGCGTACCTGCCTCCCCACCCATCATGGGACAACACTGCTGGCAGCGTGGGTGGGCTGACATCACGTGTGATGTCACCCCGTCATGCTCACATTATGACGTTGCGTGGGCAGCATGCAATGCCAGGCACAGCGTGGGATCCCACACAACACCGGGCTTGGCCTGCAGTGTCACTTGCTAGCACGTGAGGCGTGACACCTGCTGACGTCACGCGCAGCCCGTGGTGTCACTTGCAGGAGCGTGATGTCAGGCGATGATACTACACCACGGCACACCGCGTGCCGCCGGGCACTAACGCCACGTGCCGCGCGCGGCGCGACTTGCTGGCGTGTGACGTCAAGCGCGACCCCGCGCACGGCCCCGCGGCGCCGCTCGCTGCCGCGTGACGCCCGGCGATGACATCACGCCGCCGTAGCCCCGCCCTCCCCGCTCCGCCTCACCACCCGAACGGCTCTTGCGCGACGGTCCCTAACGGCCTCGGGCCGTACCATTCTGCAGTCCGGCGGGGGGGAGCCCCCAGCGCCGCGGG